TATCATACTTATAGTTTTCCTTAGAATTCCCCTCTTACCTAGGACGCAAGATGACTTGCAGCAGTGTGGCACAATAGTTGATGTGTCGAGACTATACATTGCACTACCATGCCCAGGATTCGAGACCCACTGTGGGTGTTGATGAGGCCCGTAGAGACAAGGTCGAAACTGCCGTCCACTCCAGCTGGGATGAGAATGCCCTCTGGGAAGCAAGTCTTGCGAAATTCGATAAGACTTAACTTGATAAAAGTCAACTCCTAATCCTTCATTATTTCATACGAAATAGGATAACTACAGCTTTTGTATAAGCCTTCGTTTTGCTACCTAATTTCTCAACGCCTATTCCCATTCCGGCCCATTAATAAAACTGTATAATTTACTTTTTACCTTATTTGAGGAGCATTTAAAAGAGTGTTTTAATGAATGTATAGCCAATTTGTTGATGATCAGAATCAGGAATGAGTTGAGGCGAAATTGGTAGCGACGAATTATTCATTTCAGCTCCACACCTCATTTCATATAACTTCCTATAGACAATTTTTTCCAGCACAGCCTTGTCAGTTAGTGCTTAAATCTGTCCATTTTCGTCGGACGTTTTTGTTAGATAACTTATCTAAAACGGGGCTATATAAAGTTTACTTTCTCCAGGTGACTAAAAAATTTCGTGCATAGCAGTTATGTATTTCGGATTTCAACAAAATCTCATCACCATGTGAGATAAAGACTAATGCGATGTCAAAACACCCTCTTTATTCTAACTAGCTTTATCCATCTAATCATATCTCCATCCATCCATCCATCTAACCATCTACTCATATCTGCATCAGCGAGCGGTAATAAGTTTATTTCACCAGGAGTCTTTGATAACGGATCCACTAGACCAGTCAGGATTTGACTTCTTCTGCTTCAAGAGAATTTGCCACCTTCGGAGTTCGTCTTTCTCGACCAACTATGCTCAAGTGCCTAGCCTTGATGCAGACTTGCTCTGGTATTGTCAGTTAGTGCAACGGGGCCGGAATTCGGACGAATG